TAAATACGTACGATTGCACATATATGTATATGTATGTATGTTTAGCTGTTAACCTGTATAATAAATATAATATTTTAATAATTTATTGCTTTTATTATATGAGTTTCATAATCATAAACCAGATCTTTCACGCTTAGGTAATTATGTATAGGCAAGTGATAACGACATTTTTCATTAACCTGCTGAGCGCCAGCTGTGAAAAAATTAAAAAGAAATTTATTCCAATTCACAGAGACCGTAATGAGATATTGGGTGTTATAGAAGATTACCACTTTTTAATCCTCTGAGTGTATTCTGCCAAAAGTGCATTGGAAACTCGAGTTTATTCATAATGTCTTAAATACATGGATGGTGCCTTGGTAACCGCTGAAGCGATTTTTGGGTCGAGCTCCTCCTCCAATTTGTAGTTTGGCGTCTTGATGTTTTCCCTCAAATGGAGGGACCTACAGTTTATACTAGGCCGCGTCCGAACGGCTAACGAGAAATCTTTAATTTCATGTCCGAAATACACTCGGAGTGGTGGATATTCCCTGCCGGGGGTGACCGCAATTAAAAAATTTAACTTAATTTTTTATTTAAATTAACTTTTCATTACTTTTTTTTTGGATGTTGGTGGCACCGGGATTCGAACCCGAGCCTTCCGAGTGTCATTAAGCAATGTTTACCACTCGGCTACCGCGGCCGAATCTTAGCATCTTAAATATAAAAATCTAATGTCCGTTTGTAAAGATCCCGGTTTCTCCCAAAAGTTGCATACCGATTGTCTCTAAATTTTGTCATAAAAAAACTTTCGGAAAGTGGAACAGGGACTGACTTATAGGAAAGATTGTTATTAATGGTTCCATTTACTTGAAATTTGGTAGCTATTTGCTTAGATTAACAGGAAGACTACTCTTCCCTCCGGAAAATGCACCAGAGACTTATATATTCGAAAAAATACTTGAAGTTCGTTTCTTTGTTTTTTTTTTGTTATAAGCGTACCGTTAATGCGTTCGAGGCAATTATATTGGCATTTGCGCAGCAAATATGTGACCATATAAATAAGCTGACCAAAGTATATACGAGGTGTGACAATTAATTAAGGAACGAGACTGATTATATTGCCGTGATTTTGGTAATCCTGCGACCTTGCAATTCCCTTTCCCTTCTCCCGGCATTCTTTATCTCTCCAATGTATATATGTCATCGCTCTAGCTTGTTTAGTTCGCCTGCTGTGTCGTGTTGAGTAAACGAGTGTTCGAGGTGCTCGTCAAGAAAATGGAAAAACGAAATCAAGAGCAACGCGTCGCGATAAAACTTTACGTTGAAATTGTAAATGAGAGCTGGTTTTTTTCAATATGACCTGAAAACCAAACGCCAAAACTCACAGTAGTTGTGTCCGCACGCCTCCGCCCGAAAGAAGCTTGCATGAGCAAGCCGAAGGTGAAAATGATGATTATTGCCCTTTTTGATAGCCGTGGAATCGTCCACAATACATTTTTTCCACCGGGGCAAACCATAAATCAAGTCTACTTACACCAAGTAAGCTCGTAACTGGATCCTGGCCTCAGAAGAGATCACCATCTTGCAAAAACCGCCTTATTCGCCCGATATGTCATCCTTTGACATTTTTGTTCCTTAGAACAAAATCGGTGGTCAAAGAAATCCATTTTGAGTCGATTGAGGACATCCAGGCGACCGTGTCGAGGGTACTCACGAACATCCTAGTCGAATTGTTTCCAGAATTGTTACGATGCTGCTGTAAGAGCTGCTCAAGAGGATGACAGTATTGTCGAATAATTTTGAAATATACCTCAATACGTTTGGGCTTAGATTCGACTAACTTTCTGCAGAAATCTCTGCTAATATTTTGCCAATCATTTTGAGCCTTCTGCCATAAATCGTTAAGATTCTGGTGCTCTTCTGGTCAATCAGAAATCGCACGCTTGACCTCAACCCAAGCATGTTGGAGTGGGTTGAGGTCTGCTGATTGAGGGAGCCAGTCAAGTACTTCAACACTGTTGTTTTGAAGCCAAGCTTTGGCAAAACGATAAATCATTATCTTGCTGATGACGTCCGACAGATTCTTGCCCTATATTTTTAGACTCCTGCACAAATCTTGTTGAAGAATATCAACATATGGCTTTCATGTGCCCGATAACCTTTACACACCCTCCAACCCCCTCCAGTGTCATAAACCCCCACATCATTACATTATCCTCTCCAAACTTCAACGTTAGTTGAGCAACGCGGCTAGTCAAAGGTTCATGAGGGGTTCTCCAATTCTTTTGCCATCCATCTTTTCCCAGGCAGATTTTTTTTTGCTTCGTTTGGCCATATGACTCGGATCCAGTCACTTTGGCTGTGTGTTTTATATATTTTTGCATATTAGAACCTCAATTTACAGCGTCAATTTGTCAAGTGTGTTTTTTTACTTTGGCAGGTCTCTGCTGCCCGTATTCCCACGATTTCTTCCTGATAGCTTCCTTTGTAATATCACATATGAGGTCTCATCGAGCGTAAAGTGTGAAAGGCTAAATCCTAACGTCGACCAACTGATTAGACTTTATCAGTGTGGCTTTAGACCTAGTAAGTCAACCGTAGACCAGATATTCACCATGCGCAAATCTTGAAAAAGATCTGTGACAGATGATTGACACGCACCACCTTCTCGCCGATTTTAAAGCAGCTTTCGAAAGCACGAAAAGGAGCTGTCGCTACAAATCTTTATCCGCGGGTATTCCTGCTAAGGGTGTATGGCTGTGTAAATGGTGAAATTGACATCATTAGCCCATGAAACGATGAACTTTACGAGATTTACGGCGACATTGACATATCTCTGCGGATCAGTGGATATGCTGACTATATCATGTGGTCCGTTCGAAAGATTTTTCGACATAGTATCCAAGCAGAGGAAAACGTTGGAAACACTTGATGGAGAAGTACTTAAATAGTTCTTTTTATACAGGAGAAGGAAAAACATTATGAATATTTCTTTGTGCAGTCCAGACATGACTAGGAAGGAAATATGATTTTGGCAAATCTATTTACTTTTCGTTGCTTTTGTCAATTTTATATGAGAATAAGTTATTACTTTAAATCTGGTAAGATTTAACAAAATTTAAGAGGACTTTGATATAGGGCAAAAGTCAGGCAAAGTTTTATGGGAGAATGGAAAGGCGTAGGAACCTCCGTCTCTGACTATTAAATTTTTTTATTATTTGGCATTTTAAAATAGCAGAAAAGATAGTCGAAATTCAAAATGACGGCTACGAAATGCCGCTTTCCGTCGACCTCTGCGCGAAAAACCTGACCCAACAACTTCAAGCCTACAGTCTCTTGTATTATTAATGCTAATCTTAGGTTCAAGTCGTACAAAAAACGATATACGTGTACATTAAAGCAGTTTTTATATAAAAGAAATCGGATGGATAGATCAAGCCTAGAGCTTGAAATTAGATCGGAAAACAAGGTTTCGAGAAAAGCGCGTTCAAAGATTTTTGAAAATTTGCCTTGCGTGCGTGCGTGCCTGAGACGGGTGTGTTCGAGAAGCTGCCATTTGAAAAATATTCATCGTATTGTAAAATCCCCTTACACACGTACTCGTACTCTACACATATATGGCTTTTTTTATTCCATAATTAAGGGCGTTGATAACCCCGAGGTAGTACATTTTTGAGATCTTGGTGGTGGTCGCATTTCACCTTGGATAGAGGGAGCTTTTACGTCTGCAGAGGAACGGGTTCGTTTACCTGACCGAATTGTTGTATATCGCCTGGAGAGCACTGCCTGTTTTTAATGCCCTACGAATAGGTGGAATTTCTATTTCCTATAAGAGCGTGTGTGTGTGCAAAAAAGTGATGTCGCAGAAAATATCGCTTATGGCAGCAAAACACTTTTGAACTTAAAGAATTTGTTTTCGTTTCTTTTTTGAAAATTCTGTCATTTTTATTTTGGAATGTGGTTGAGGGGTGGGTTTTTGTAAACATGTTATTTGTACATTTATGCAATAATGTGGTTTCTTCTGAGATCTCATGAGTTATACGCTTGTATCTTAAATTGTTTTTAGATTCCTTAATGCAACAATAACAATGCCATAAAAACTATTTTGGGACGTGGCTAGTTTTCTGTATTTTAATGTCTTGATTTCGTTCTTTGTACTATAACGTGTGTATGTATGTATGTATGTATGTACTTTTTCATATTGGCCGGCCTTATCCAGCAGCGAAAAACCGCCTTGCCGGCTTAGCGCAAGTGACGTCTTGGCTAATTATATTCATATTAGCACGAAACTCGCTGATAGACTGTAGCCAGCGAATCGACCGACTATTTTGCGGAATTAATACCGCATTGCTTTGAATATTAATTTTCATTTTCTCACACCCAATTCATTTGTATTCGTTTAAGAAATGAAATTCAAACTACTACACACTGCAGCACTTATACTCCACGGTATACTGAAGCGTGCGTGTGTGTGTGTGTGTTTAATTTCAGGGAACTTGCCGGTTTCATAATGAAGCGAAATAAAGACTTTGCCGCCAACAAAACAATGCCGGCAAACGATATTTCTGTATTAAGATAATAAACTATGCGCCGCTACCGAAACACGAACTTAACAAAAGGAATTTTCTTCGCTCAAAACTACTTTTCTACAATATACGAGTTTGAGTTTGGTCATTTGCATCAGAAAAGTTTTATGGCCACTAAATTGAGGAGCGCATTCGTAGCGTTGTGGTTGCGTCAAAGTCGGATAGTTCTTGTTGTACGTAAATAAATATGATTTTTGCAAACAAGCCCCGGATGCTGTGTACTTGTGGGAAGCAGTCGGATCGCTTCGTCGTCGAAAGCTTGCTGAAACCCGTTGAGGGTGAAAATATGAAGAAAGCCGTGTTGTTGCTATCTTTCAGCCAAAGCTAGTGTAGTCTTAATTTTCAGATAGAGTATATAAAGTGGCGGTCGTGTCACCAAGAAGTATTCTCAGTTCGACTCTTCAGAACATATCACCAAAGTTTAAAGGCAACATGCGTGGTTTCATTGTTTTGTGTTTGGTAGCGGCCGTATGCGCCGACAAGTTGGGCTACAACTACAGGCCAGTTCCACACTCTTCATCTGGACTATCCTTCGCACCTGGCAGTGGCAGCGTTGGTGGCGATGGTTACAGCGGTGTGGGCTCAGGTGCTGATCTAGATGGTTACGGCAGCTCTGACAGTCTGGGTGGTCTTTCTGGTGTCGGCGGTGGATTTGATGCTGGCGCACCCAGCAGTTTGTCCCCTACAGTGTCACAGGAGGCCAACAAGGAGTTCTACACATTTACCGCTCCTGAAGAGGAATTCGAGGATGCTGAGGGTGCTCAACAATTAGCTCATTCTCTGAAGAAGAACGTACGTGTTGTCTTCATTAAGGGACCCGAAAACAATGGCTTGGAGAAGGCTGCCCTTGCTTTGGCCAGAAATGCTGCCGAACAGAAGACCGCTATCTATGTGCTGCAGAAACAACATGACCTCGGTGATTTGGCAAACAAATTGCGAGCTGTGAACGATCAGCGCAATCAACATCCAGAAGTGCACTTTGTCAAATACCGCAATCAGGATGACCTTGCCAATGCCAAGCAAACCATTCAATCGCAGTACGATCGTGAGCCTGGTGCATCTCAGAATTACAATGGTGGCGTTGCTCCATTGATCAACTTTGCTTCGCCATCCCGTCCAGTCCAGTCGTACGGACAACAACAACAACAATACTACAGTCCTTCAGCCAGCAACACCAACGCAAATTACTTGCCACCCTCGCTGTTGAGACGTCTCCGTTTCTAGACGCACATTCTGTACCTAAAATAATAATTTAAATACACGCAATTATAATAACTTTAAAAACGATAAATAAAAATAAATAAAAACTTAAATACTTGACTTTTATTTATATAATTTTTAGTGGAGTACCAGAATCACCTAGGAGCTATTAGAATCCGATAAACTATGTGTATGTCCATCTATGCAAAGCTAAATGCTTTCACATGATTAAAGGATTTCTAGTTGAGAGTCTACTACTATTTGTGGTCTGATTTCAAATATAAAAAAAAGTTTAGGTAAATAATAAAATAAAATAAACTAAGTTATATAATTAAATGGCCTTGAGTGCCACGGCGGCATCGTGAATAGTAATTAATTATCTGGGATACACGAAGAAATCTCCGCGAATTTTGAACGAGGCCAAAAAGAGGCTCGAGTTTTTTTTGCTGAACTTTTCCTAAACAAATTTGAAAACGCTCTGTCTAGCAAAGTCATTACTGGTGACGATTCTTGGTTCTATAAGTAGGATCCAGAAACCAAACAGCAGCCCACGGTTTGGAGCCCAACAGGAGCAAACCCACCCGTAAAATCTAAACAACAAAAATCAGCAGCAAAAGTAATGACTTCAATTTACTTCAACCGATCTTAAATCGTAATTGCTATCTCACTGGAAAAGGGTCAGACGATAACTATAAAATGGTACACCGAATAGTGCTTGGCAGAAGCGCTCAAAAATTTGTTGGTAAACAGAAAGAAAGAAGATTTTCGGCGCTACTTTTTACATCATGACAACGCGCTCACCGCTGAAAAAAAAATTAATTTTATGCTACCTCTGGGATCGTAGATGTACATCCAGCACCGTTTTCACCGAATTTTTGTTTTTTCCAAAAATTGAAAAAAAAAATATAAAATGAAATGTGTTTAATAGCAAGGAGGAGGAACTTCATTAACTTAATATAAAAATTTTGAAGACCGTGTTTAGCAGTGGATCTATAGGCTCAAGAAATGGATTGAAATCAAGGGCGATTATGTACAGAAGATAAAAAAGACAAGGATTACGAATAAATACAAAAATGTTTCTATTTTTTTGGTCAACTTACCGAATTTTTGTTAATCCCATCGAATTATTAGTAATTTCATAACATTAAATCAACAAGGTATCAAGCTGTTAGAATATTACACAAGAGTTAAATTTTTGATGATCTAATTATTTAGCTCATTCCGATAAGTTAGGGGAAGTTCAAAAACAATTTTGACATTCTTCATTTTTATTCCTATACCAACCGTTTGAAGCTTCTAAATCTTCCTACTCTCGCAAGTGGTAAGGAAATGTTAGGCACATTGTTCGTAGTGAAACTTCTTAATGAATAAAATTATAGTTTGTGGCTCTTACCTGAGGTCAACTTTAATCTTTCAACTCTTATCTCGAGGCAGTTTAGGCTTTTACTATTAAAGTCATGCTCAACCAATTATGAACTGAGTGAACCCATTCGAAGATTGTAACACAATTTTAATTTACATTCCAGCACCTTCTATCTCTCAGACTCGCTCTTAAGCATAAAAACTATTCTTACTTCTCTCAACAATTAAATTTTAAAATTCCATATTCACTATATTTCAGCTGTTGAATAATTAATTTTTCTGTAGCTGAACAGTTCTAAATTTCGACGCTTAATTTATGACTCGGCATTTTCCGAGGGTATTCGTTGGGCTTATTATTATAGCACTAAAATCAAATTGTATGGAACTATTAAAATATCTGAAAAGCAATTTACTGTGAACTTAGTTTCAGTTTAACAGTACATTTTTTTTCGAAACGTTTTTTTTTGCGCGCAGTTTGTCTTTACTTGGCATTTTGTTACGAAGGCGAATGATTACGGAGTTGTCACTGTCCTGTATCAGTGACTGGCTGCCCTCTAAAAATTATTCCTATTGAGTCTTTGTAATCGCTGAAGACAATGATGTAATAGACCACTGTTTGATGGGACGATATGAAGAGAGACTAGGGGCCTGCTTTAAGATATAATACAAGTGTGATGTGGGGGAGGAAACGATCGTCCTGCTTGGCAATTACGGATTTCAAAATTTTGGGGTCTTACTGCTGGTGATCTCCCGAATATAGCTGACGACAGAGTTATAAATCTATTGTGGTTAAATAGGGATGGGACATGGTTGGATAACGAGCGAATAATCAAGTTTTTGTGGCATCACATTGGGTCTCATTCAGGCCTAAGTATAATTGATAAGATAGGTTGGTAGCCACCACCACATAACCAAACCTTTTGGTAGCACTTTCCACAGACGTAAAAATGTAGTGCAGCACGAACATTTGCAAATTTAAATTCCGAAATCAATTTGCAGATAAATCCAGTGGTTACATTTTTATTTTTAGAGTGATAGGGGATGGATTGCAGAAATTGTTTTCTGCATTAAACGAAATAATTCCTTTCTTCCTTACTTGGACACGGCGTTGGAATATAAACTAATATTTTAATTTGAGACTGAACACAGTATTATAAACAAATATCTTTCTCTCTCTTTACTAATACTGAGTATATATGTACATATGAGGTATATGCAAATGTCGTTTTAGCGGCTGCTTGTAGAAACACAAAGTTCGTCAGCTTCTCACAGTTCAAGCGAGTAATTAAAAAAAATTAAAACGCAATTTAAATGTTGCCATCAACCGATCAGAAATTTGCTCTAATGATATATTATACTATGTGTTGCTTGTTTTTCTGTATGTATGTATGTATGGGAACTTGCATCAATTCAAACTAAATAGGAAGCGCATGAGTTCCCTATCTTGATTATTGAGAGAATACCGTCCATGCCCATGGGAGCCGTTGTTTTTATTCTGAATTCAGTTATAAATAAGAATGACTTTTGATCAGTTGGTGAACTAAAAGAAAAATCAATTAGCTTATTCAAGAAGAAAGTAAAAATATCTACGATTTTTCCGCTGTAAATCATCTGCTTGACAGAATAAGTCACAGGTGAAAAATTAGGTCAGAATTATCACCCATTAGCGAAGACAGTCAGTGTATTTTCTTTACCCCCGGTAGTGGCTCTTCTGCAGCGATCGACGATTACAGCCGTTAGATGGGTGTTCGTTGATCATGCAAGCTTTAGGATGCTCATTCGGTAAGTTCAATGGCAGTTCGTCAAGTATTTTAGGAAACTCTGAAGTTGAATCGTTAAACTCAGCTCATTTGGAGACCACGGCACTTAGGGGTCTCGCCAAATTTGATGCATCTAGTAGCATTGGTGGAAATTACTTTAACGGTGATAATAGCTCAGTTAAGGCACCAGGCATTGTTCATTTACACAAAGCATTCTACACCTTTTCTGTTCATGGTAGGTATTTTGACGAGCTTGATGGTTTTGTAAAACAAAATGCATGCCTTACACAATGACCGAAAGTCATAAGCCTGAGATACACTTTGTTAAATTTCTTTCGGCAAAAGATGCTTCAAAAGCATAAAAGGCATTCAAGTTTTATTGGCTGGGGTATCACAATCATGTCTTAGTACAGCTGCTGTTCATTTAAACAATTTCGCATCATTAGACAAATGGTGGTTTTACGAGTGACTTAAGCCTGGGCTTACCAAGAGCAAAATATTTGCTCGCTTCTATAATATGCTTTTAAAATGTTGTTTAAATTGTGATTATTGTCTTTTATATATTAAAAGAACAAATTAATTCGGTGCATTTTTTATGTTCAGAAAAGTGTTTTCTATTGAAGAAAAAGTAAAATTGCAAACGACTACTTTTTCCCATCCCTCTATTAATTTTAGAGTTCAATCTCGTTAAAACGAACCCTCTCTAACCACGATCCAATCATTGAGCCATTCCTCGATTTCTTCATAAGACCCGAACCGACGAGTTCCTAAATCGAATCATTTTCCATCCGTCGAAAAAACCAGTAGTAGTAGTAGGAAGACCGCCTATTCAGCGTTTTTAGGTAGTGTTTGATCGTTACACCTACGTGGGGCTAAACGTGTTTATGTTGAAAAATCACCTTATCAGCTGTAGTCGGTAACATTTCGCCTCAATGGTTTCGCCTGGTTTTAGCAACTCGTAGTACACCAACCTGACTGGTCCCCGCATCACTTTTGAAGCATTGAAACATTCTCCGAATGACTTATCGGTCGATGCAGTTTCCACAAAAACTTCCACAAGCATTGGATTGAAATAGAAAATCAAAACTTCCCGCAAATGCTGTTTATTTAACGTTAATTCGAACCTTTACGAAAAGGCTAAAAACAACAGTGTTATAAGACACAGACTCTCATGCGCACTAATTATTGTCAGCAGAAATGAAACCTTTCCAATTAGGATGAATTCACTGTTCAAATATCGAAAAGAACAATTACACGGGGTTTAGTCGAATTTGGACTTCAAAGAAGAGCAGCACGCAAATCCAAAGAAAACTACGTATAGACTTTGCTCATTCTCATTGATGTTGGATACTAAACCAGTCAAAGTATGTCGTTGGAACTATGAAACGAAAAATAATCGCATTGGCCCTGATTAACGGAGATATGTTCGACGGCCTATTAACCAAGAATTTAATCCTCGTTATGTTTCACGCGTATTGAAGCATAGTTGCGGATTAATCATGCTGTGGGAATGTTTTTCTGGTATGGTGTTGGGCCACTCTATAGGATAAATGGAATTTTAAATAAGGAGATATACATCGTCGTACTACAAAATGTTATATTGCCTTAGGCCGAGGAGAATTTGCCTGTTATAAGGAAAATTCTACGGGATAACGATCCAAATCATACCGCGAAGTTAACGAAAAAATTTTTTGACAGAAATTCCAACAATGATTTATAATGTCCACCATCCAGTCCAGAATTGAACTCTCTGGGGTGACGTTAAAAGACTCGTTACTGTTAAAAATATCGTAAAAATGGATGTCCTTTTTACGGAAGTAAGAACGGCATGGCAGGCAATATCAATGGTGCGCTGCCAAAATCTTTTAACATCAATGCGAAATCGCTGTGAGGCAGTGTTGAGGAAGAAGGGTTATGTAACCAATTACTAACAAAAAGTAAACATATCATCTTATCACTATTTTTTTCTGATAAAATATTTTCGTTGCTTCTTAGATGTCACACTCAATTCACGGATTTCACAGGTTTTTGTATAAAAAAAATATAAAAAAATGAATTTTGAATAAATTACTTAGAATATGATTTTAAGTTTTTGTATTTGTTTAACTAAAATTAGAAAACAAATTATGAAAATCATTCAGTTAAAAATAAGCAACGTTTCTAATTAGCTGTCAACAGCTAAATAAATAAAATAAATTAAATTAAATTCATTGAAATTTTAACTTTGTTGTTTTTTTTTTCAAATTATCATTTTGCCGTTCGCTGAATAGAATGTGACATTTGCTTGGATATTTCAACCTTACTTTAGGGTTGGAGAAATTGTGATTTGATGCAGTATTGTGGGCGGCCTAGACTGCGGTCCCCAACATAATTGAGAAGAAGTGGATGATAGTACGACGTATTGTGTAAGGTGTAATGAATTATTCGGATAAAGCTAAGATTATTATTATTATATGATTACAAAGTTAATGAAATAATAAGTCAAGATTATTTGCAGTAGTATAAAAATGCACTTTATAAATAAAGGGTTACTTTTTCAGAGTTTTAGGAAAGTTTTCAAAAAAACAACACATAAAATTCAGAAAAATGCCTGAAATCTTTATTTGAATCGATAGTATGGTCCATATAATTTAATGTTTGAAGATTCTTTCATGCAAATGTTGACCGTGACTGCACCTCAAATGGTCCATCCGAATCCTTAGTCCAATTTTGGCATACTCCTTCCAACATATCGGCAGGTATCTCACGAATAAATACTTCAATGTTGTCCTCTAATGCGCTAATTGTCTAAAAGCGTTAAATACTCACCATCTAGGCGCCCAATCGACCGGTCCGAACCATAAAATAAAATGTTCACCGAACTCGCCCCTCAAAAAGTCCATTGTTACGCGTGCCGTGTGGCATGTGGCATCGTCTTTTCTTCCATTTTGGGCAAAACAAAGTTTGATATCATCTCAGGGTAGCGCTCATCATTCACAGTTACGTTACGATTCTCATTATCTTTGAAGAAGTACAGTCCAATGATGCCACCAGCCCATAAACCACACCAAACTAAGACTTTTTATGGATGCATTGGTAGCTCTTGCAATGTTTCTGGCTGATCTTTACTCCAAAATTGACAATTCTGCTTATTTACCCACCCATTAAGCCAAAAATGAGCTTCGTCGCTGGACACAAAGAAGAAGAAGAGGCGATGAAATTTCTTAACAGAGCATTTTGGTTGTTCGTTTGTAAGAGGATTCATAGTTAAATTGTAGACCAAACTGAAGACGTTTGACAGTGATAAAAAACACGAAACGTGAGTCAGCTGTTTAAACCAGTGTTTCCAAAAAGAGAGTAGCTAAAAAATCACCATCGATATGTGTAAATGTAAAAAAAGTTGTTAAAGCAAATAAAATTAAAATCTCGGCGGCAATTGCTTTGTTCACCAATATTCGATATTAAATTATGTCATAACTTTTTATTTTAATTTTGCATCAGTTCTCATATAAGCATGTATTTATATATATATATATCTGATACAGATATATGTATATATTTATAAATTTTATTCACTAATACTAATAATCACAATTTATGAAGTTCAAATTCCTTAAACTTTTCAAAACTTCCCAAAGAAAGTCGACAAGATCATAAAGGAATTGCAAAATCACTTAAAATATTGTCTTACTCCTCTGTAGGAGTTGCAGTTTTCTCAGCGTCAACGTCAATTTTTTCTGGTTGTTCATCGATGTGCACCGCATTTCGATTGAATTCTATTACTGTGACGTTTTCAGGTTGCTCAATTAGAAATATACGTTGTGGCTTTAATAACTCAAGTAAATCGTCTATTTTTGCTTCGTCTTCATCTTCCTCGGGTGCACTGAAAGTTAAAAACTCAGCTGTGATCTGTTCCTTCGACTGCGCCAAAAATTCACTATCAAGCTCCGCGCCAGGGCCAATATCAGCGTCAGTGTCAGGTGGGGAAGATTGTTCTGTTTCCACGGAAGCTTCTAATTTCTCCACAGATTTGGCATGGGACGCCAAAATAATAAGCATAGCCTGAAGTTATTTTTACTATAACAAAATATTTATAGCTGAAGTTACGCTTGTTATACTCACAAAGAGCCTAATACATATAAAATGGTAATCCATGATAATTAGTGGTGATAAAAATACTGTCGCTTAAGCGCTCGGCGCAAGAGTAACGTTTTTGATAGCTTTCGCCGCGCTTTTATAGCTTCTTTTGAGTTGAGTCTGAACTACTGCTGGCCAAATAGAAATGTTAAAATAAAATCTATAAACATTGTTGCCTTTCAACGAAAACAAATTAATTTATAAATTATTATTTGTTGTTTGTTGTGTAAAAATCAAGTAAATATATAACTGTCTTTAATCCACAGTTGCATCTCCATTTTCGATAACCCAACAAAGATTCCAGTTCTGAATTAAAATACATACAAGCTGGTGATTGGTAAATGTGGGCAACAGCTATAGGTGCAGTTGTTTCGGAAAAAAACTTCAAAAGAAATAAATTCCGTTTTAAATAGTTTTTGAAATTCCATAATTTGTTAACCACAAAAACCCGTTTTTTGTAGTTTCAATTCGATTGGAATAGTAATTATTGAACAAACTAACTAATATAATATGCTCTTCCCAACAGGTTAGGCATGTCACGTCATAGCAACAAAAAAAAGACATTCTTTCGGCTACATGACATGCTCCAACCCAGTGCTGCCCAAACTTGTGGCCAAGCGACAAATTTCAGTGGCCAACGAGAAAACTTTAATATTTTTCGAAGAAGAAAATTCGAAAGTACAATAGCGAATAGGAAGTAAATTATTTTGTGTCCGAACAAAAAGTGAAGTCAGTGTGTCTAATATGCCGCCATGCATGCGCAGAGTCGAATCCCATTTTAAGAATCAACACCGTGACTTGAACGAGAAGTTTTTGCCGTTATCCGAAAAACGATCTGCCGAAAAATTGCGATTGAAAATTGCATTGGAATCTGAACAAAAAGTGATGAAAAACAAACTCAATGTAATCCATCTAGTTACGCGTGTTTCCTATGAAGTTGCATTCAACACTGCAAAACACAGAAAATCAAATGCCGATGGTGCATTTCACAAACAGTTGATGCAAGCAACCATTGCGAAGCTATGTGAGAATTGGGACGAACTGAAAGCTTGATAAATTAAAAACATTATCGCTCAGCCATCAAACAATCAATCGCCAAGACGAAATCGAAAAGTGAATTGGAAGAATGTAAAGCATTTCATGTGTCGTCGGATGAACGACAGACATTTCGGATATGTCCCAACTCATATTTCGGGTGCGATACATCAAAAATGGGCTGATTAAGGGGCACACCTAGTGTAACGGCCTAAAAAAGGTAATTTTTTGGAATTTTTATTAAAAAAAAATACTTTATTAATTATTTCAAAATTTTAAGAATATATTTATAGATGAAACATCAAGAATATACAGTGAAATTTTTGAAAAAAAAAATTAAATATTTTTTAAGTTATAGTCGATCTCCAATGGCGCGAAAAAAAGGTCCTTCACTGCTGCAGTGATTTTCCGTGGATGAAATCTAAAAAAAATTCTCTACCAGATAATATTGTCTGTGCAAACCCTATGATAAAAAAAATGACAATATGGCGGCGTTTAAAAAAAATAGTCGAATTTTACCCAAAATTTTGGTCGTTTTTGGTCTGCCAAAATTCGATTTTTTGATGAGATCAAAAATCGATAGGTCATTGTACGGAGAACAATATATAGAACATGTAAAAAATTCGACAGTGATCGGATCATTTGTTTTCGAGTAATCACTGCAGCAAATTCGGAAAATGCTGTTTCGAGATAAATGCGTTTAAAGATAAAATGATCGTTTTCACTCGTAGCTAATGAGACTCTCTAGCTGCCGAGCGGCTGCTCTTTAAATTGCTATAACTCAAAAACTGAAGTGATTGATTGATTTGAATTGTAATATGTTATTTCTAAAGGGTGATTTTTTGAAATTTCACACTAGGTGTGCCCCCTAAAGAAAATATTCTGGCATTGGTTCCTCTCACTGCACAAGCAAGAGCCAAATATTTTTCTGATGTATTGATATGACTGTCATTGCTCGATTAGATTTGGACTTGAAGAAGCTCGTATCAATATGTACCGATGGAGCTCCTTAGTGAAAAAGTACATCAAAGAACAGTTCAACTTACCATTTTTCATTACAAATCACTGTGCGCACAGACATTGAAAATGGATTGCGATATTTTGCAAACAGTGACCAAAGTATCTACAGCATTAGCAAAAATACGCCGATTATAGTTTATTTATCGTGCTCATAATTTGTTTGCAGATCAACTATACAATCAGAGCGAGTGAACTACCTCATCGTCGATTCAAGTTGTTGACAGAAAAATTGAATTTGGAATTTCGGCTGACATAATGTTCTTCGAAAGCATTCGCTGGCTAAGCTGTGGAAATGTATTGAATCGGTTTTGTGATCTGTTTGATGAGATCGGACTATTTATCGTGAAATAACACATGGATGTAGAATTCAGTTAAATATCGGCACATACATGGAAAGAATAAGTGTAGTTTTTGGCTGATATTACGAATCATTATCTGAATGAGTTGAATGTGGGGCTACAAGGAAAGAATAAATTCATTTGGAACTTGGCAAGAGATATTCAAGAATTCGAGTTGAAGTTGGTTGCATTTAGAAACCAAATTAATGAAATTGATTTTACTTTCTTCCCAGTGTTAGACACAAATCAATGTAATGAAGGATTTCAGTTAGGTTACGATACAAACATTTTTATTGAATATTATTATTATCCCCTTTCGTAGAAGGCTGCGTCCCTATTGGCAAAAACCTCGGAGAGCCAATTTTCACTGGTCTCTCTTGAGGCCAACTTCTCACTATCCGGCGTGATTGGTGCCAGGTCCGGACTATAAGGTGGGTGCATTAGGACCTCCCATCTGAGCACCTGGAGCTTTTGGCGCGTCGCCAAAGGCGTGTGTGGTCTGGCGTTGTCCTGATAATGAATTCGGCCTCTGTTGATAAATGATAGCCTCTTCTGCATGAGTGCTGCATTCTAGCGGTCCATTGTTGGCAGGGCCAAGTTGAGCGTTTGGCCATTTGGTAGCTCGTAGTAGATGATTCCTTGCCAATCCCACCAAACACAAACCAAAACCTTTCTGGCCGTCAATCTTTGCAAACCACTTTTGTGCTGTCCGTTCGTTTACAGTATCGCTTTGGCTCCTTTTTTGCCTTGATCGTAGAAAAATTGTAAGATATAGCGAATTTTCACTTTGCAGGTGTCCATCTTTGACGAGCCCTCACAACGTACTGAGTCAATCAATCGAAAAACTATCACGCGTTCGATTCACGATTTGAAGATTTCCAATTGTTTCAGTTGGAATTCAAATTTCTCAAAAACCCGTTCGCGTGTGACCCAATTAACTAATCCAATCGAAGCCAGACTTTGATAAACTGACACCGCCAAAAATCAGTTTGGACAGCACTGCTTTATCGAATCATAACCGGTTATATGGATCATTTATCGGTTGATTTATGGTTGTGTATGTATGTTTTTATGTTTAAAAAAATTGGCTTGAATTGTTTTTACCAGAGTGGGCGAAATTTGATGCAGAGATGGTTACCTGGACCTTGGAGGAGATGGGAATTTTTTTTTCGTTCAACAGTGTGACAGATATAATCAAATCAAATGAACGAACGCAGCTCTAAAAAATTGTTATTTTTGTATTTGTACTGGCTTACTCGTTTAACAGTATGGTTAGTGACAATGATATTTTTATTTCTAAAGTAAATGTCATTGACATTGAGTGGACAGAATGTAGAGCAATGATCAAATTGAGAGGGTTCTTTGTCATAAAAAAACTACATACGAATTATCAAATCTTCAAGAAATGTGGGAAGGTAACCTCAATCTGAAACAACAAAGGATTAACGGGTATGGTATAAGTCAGGTAAGGTATATATAGTAGCCGGCCAGTATAACCTCACCTTATAGCAGCAAATTGCAAATAATTGAATTGTGAGTGGGAGTTTTTTTTTTAAGAATAAGATATATCGTACTTTTTTTTAGAACGGAAATTGGTTTTAAGCCTGACAATTAGTTTAAGTGATACTTTCAAAAAATCTTTTTTTTTGCTGAAATTCTTAAATATATTATATATTGCCTTGGCCAAAAGTATTAGGCACCCCACTTAAATACAATTTTTGAAAGTCAAGCCTAAAAATTGTAATTTTTAAGAAATTCATAAAATAATTTCGCTTTTAAAATTTGAAAGTGAAAGTGGAAATTACATTTAGTGAAAAGTTACCAATCTTATAAAAACAGTTCATATTTACCGAAATGCCTAAAAAAGGTGAAATTAGTTACGATGATAGAGTTAGAATTCAAGTTCTAAGGGGAGAAGGTAAGTATCAGGTAGAGATTGCCAATTTGGTGGAATGTACGCAGTGCGCGGTCCAATGTGATATCAGAAGACTTGTGGAGACGAAATCTAAAAGGGAAGAAGGCGCCTAACCAGTAAACGAGAAGACCGAATACTTATATGCGAGTCTATCAAGGATCGCGAAAAATCTTCTTCTGCGCTTGCAGCCGCCCTTTCGGATGAATTTAGTAAACCAGTTAGAGCTCGAACAGCTGGAAGAAGACTTCTGGAAGCAGGTTTAATAGGATGTAAAAAGACTAGAAAAAATCGTTTGGAACGGGCTCGCCGATACCAACATTTCACGGAAGAATATTGGTCGAATGTTCTGTGGTCTGACAAATCAAACTTCGAGTTAAGATCGTCTTAAAGTATTAACAGTCATAGTTTTCTACCCTAGAGTAATTTTGGAAACATAATACAAATCCTTTGAAAATATTATTTTTTCTTTTCCACAGCTATTTGGAACACCTGGTGTGACGTTCGTGAGGCGACGGGTTGGGGAAGAATATCATCCATACTGCGTGATACCCACTGTTAAGCATGGAGGAGGCAGCATTATGATCCGGGGCTGCATGGCTGCTGATGGTGTCGGC